AAACTTAATACTGAGGAAATCCCTTTCTCTTTCAAAAATTGATTAGTTGGTCTCTAAGATTGCTTCTACCTCTAAATCTATGTTTATAATCTGAAAATTTCTAAATTTTTCATTTTAAGAAATTTTAAAACGTCTGGACTGACAATGCCTAGGAAATCCCCCTTCTCTGGCTAGATAGAGAGATTCCTAGGTCACATGGACTTTAAAATCCTTACACAAAAGATTGAGATTGAAGAACATATTCCATAAACTACCCTTTTGGGAAAGCATATTCCTACTTCAGTCATATGCTTCTGCAAAAACTCCCCAGCTACTACTATCTCTTGTGCTTGGAAAATCCAGTCTTTGTATCTCTCCTCTCCGGCCACATGAAACTCCCATGCACTTCTGCTTAAGGCAGCCCTTACTAATCACTTCACAGGTAGTAAGTGCCAGAGATGGGATCTGAACCTGTGTTTTCTGACTTCAGAGTAATCAAGTCTAATCTCCTTATTTTATAAGTGAGGATATTGAGGCCAAGAGGGATTACATGATTTGCCCAGGGTCACACAGATATGTAGTGTCTGAGGTAGGATCTAAACCCCAATCTCAAGTCTGGGCACAATGCTCTAAATGTGAGCTACCATGACTTAAGGAGATATAGTTTTATTGGTCCCCTCTATGGGGGGGGGGAGAGATGTACTCAAATAGATGAAAGGAGACCTTTTGATCAAAGTTCCTCCTCCCTAAACCATTTGCCCTCACACAGACTTTAGGCTTATGAGTTCTCCCCCACCTCTTCTTCAGACACATTCTATAGGAACACCATTGCCTTGTCTACCTGGGCTCTTAAATGATCTGTAAAGTTCCTGAGTGTGTATATCTACACAGTTTTAGGCAGGTTGGTTGCATAGTGAATGGAGCATTCATCCTGGAGTCAGGAAGAGCTGAGCTCTGCCCTAGATACTTACTGGAGAGTGATCATGAGCAAGTGACTTAAGCTCTCTGGGTCTCATTTTTCTCATCTATAAAGTAAGGGGGTTGTGCCTGACCTCTAGAGTCCCTTCCAGTTCTGTATGTGTGATATTATGGTTACATGAAATAGTAATATTGATGGGTGGTTACCTAATCAAATGCAATAATATTGCCTGTTTTATAAAAATTGGCCTTTAATTTTTTTTTGACATTTCGGGTAGGTCTTTTTTCTTTGAGATTGTTCTAAATTCCTTTGAGCCTTGCTGAAATGATCGATCTTAATGTTATGCAAGATACGGACTTCTCACTTTGTTATCTGTGAAATTCTCCAAAAATAGCAAACATAATGGACTGTCTGCTGTTCACTAAGCTAAAACACTTTTCTCTTTAGAACCACTGGCTCAAGGGAGGGGAGTAGAGGCAATGGAGAATTCACTGGGGGGGTCATGTATATTAATAACAGGTATTTTAGTCTTTACAAAAAGATAGGGATAGGAAACTAGTTAATACACAAACATATCTTAAACACTTCCTATTTGCCAGGCACTGTGCTAGGCACTGAGCATACAAAGTTATAAGATGGTAGCTTGTCAATTGACAGTTGGGAGAGAGAGGGAAAGGATAAAAAGGAGAACAGAAAGACACAAATGTGGGATAGATTATAGGAAGAAGAGAAAAAAAGAGAGAGATATGTAGATGGATTGATACTAAGAGAAAGGAACATGGAAAGAATAAAAAAACAGAGCAAGAGAGATGGAGAGTAAAGCACAACAAAAATAAACATAAAAACATTGGAGAGAACAAAAAAGTGGAGACAGACATTTACAAAAGTAACATACTCAGCCAGACTTTGAGTCTGAAAGCTAGAATATTACTATTTTTGTCTTTGAAACTATAGGACTAGTTGGGCTACCTCATTCTAGAACTGTCCCTGAGAGTCCAGTGAAATGAACCCAAAGACCAAATCTTTCATGACTCTGTTGCTGGCAGGATGGAGAGATGAAACAAAACTGGGATGAATAAATTTATAGATCTGCCAATTCAGGAAGACCTGGATTTTGAAGCATGAGAGAAAAGATAGAAGGTGATTTATTTAAGAGACAGGAATGCAGAGATAAAGTAAATGTGGATCCAAAAGCAGAGATCATTGTACAGGGGAAATGACAGGTGAGACTCAATTACCATCAACCAATAGTCCACAAGTGAAGGTGTCTGCCCAGAAAGGCTCATAGAAAGTGATCAACAGAAGGCCAAACAATAGACAATAAGCAGAAGTCTAGGAAGTGTTATGGAAGCCAAACAGCTGACACTGGGGAACCATTTATAGGGTGACCGAATTTCATGGGGTCAAAAAATCCAGTACAAGGTAGCAACTCAATCACAAGGGAACAAGGTAGGAAATCAATTACTGGAGAAAAAGAGAGGGAAAATTAGGATATAAGGAAGAACCCAGTTACTAAGGAACTCCTGTCAGAGAAGGTTCAACTGACTCAATGCTGAGCTCATGAGTGTCTCATCTAAAGCTATATTCCCCTCAGCTTAGGGACAGAATGTATTCCTGAGTCTCGCAAAGAGCTAGAATTTGATAGTGGTTAAAGTAACCCAAACTGGTTGTTAGGGAACAGGTACATGCATATATTGCTGGTAGAATTGCAAACTAGTGGACCCTAATATGGCAGTCAATTGCAAGAGTTATTATAAAGTATAAATATATTTAATAATAACAGCTAACATATTGTATTGCTCTTACTATGTTCCAGGAACTGTGCTAAGTGTTTACAATTATTATATCATTTGATCCTCGCAAAAACTCCACAAGTGCTATTAATGTCCACATTAGGTGCTATTATTAGCCTCACTTAAAAACTGAGGAAACTGAGGCAAACAGAGGTCACAAAGCTAGTAAGCATCTGAGGCCAGATTTGAAAACTCAGTTCTTCCTGACTCCAGACACTGGTGCTCTATCTATTGCACTATCTAGTTACCTATTAGTCCTATTATTAGGAATATACATTAAGAATATTATAAGAGGCAGCTAGGTGGCACAGTGGATAGAGCACCGACCCTGAAGTCAGGAGGACCTGAGTTCAAATTCAGCCTCAGACCAAACACTTGACACTTACTAGCTGTGTGACCCTGGGCAAGTCACTTAACCCCAATTGCCTAAAAGCAAAAAAAAAAAAAGAAAGAATATTATAAAAAAAGAGCAAGGTTTGGTGATGGAGTGGGAAAGAGCTATATTTTCAAAGATATTTACAGCAGCATCATTTGTAACTGAAAAAAGAGAGAGGAAACATCTTCCATGTCCACTGATTAGGCAATGACTGAAGGAATTTATGTATCAGTGTAATGGAATAATGCATTGCATGGTTGGACATGATGCCAGCATAATAAAATATCACAACGCAATTAGGAGTGGCATGTGAAGAATATAAAGAAATAAGGAAACACTTACTCAGCTTACTCAACAAAGCAAAGTTAAGAAAGCTGAACCAGATGAATACAATCTTCACTATGTTGGAAGACATAGCTTGCCAAACTGGGAAGAGTACCAGATCTTGGAGTCAAAAGATTCAGGTCCTAATTCTGGTTCTGCTACCTATAATTAGCAGGATAACCTTGTTCATATCACTTCTCCTACCTAGGTCCTGATTTTTCTCATATGTAAAATTAAGGATTTGGACTTGAGAAATTTTAAGGTCCCTTCTGGCTCTCAATCTGTATCTATAGAAGGAATACAGTTAGGTAAATACAGGTGGGAGTGAATGGACACAGAGGGAAGGGGATAATTGATAATCTGATAAATATAGTTATAGGTTGTAGACTGTCATTTAAAGCATAAATAGATGACAATCTAATTTTGGTGGATTTTTTAAAAAAAGTTAAGCTCATAACAAATTACTTATTTAGAAAAATAACATGACTTCCAGCTGTGAAGAGTAGATTGCTACAGAGTCAGGGACCCAGGTAGATAATTTAAAGATCTGCCCTTAGCCTAGAGATTTCCCCCTGCTGCCCTAGAGCTTTCTCTAAGAATTTCCAAGTCCTACATCATGGCACACAAAGCATTCAATTTATTGATTGTATTTCCTCATTTTCTATTTATTAATTTTCAAGATCTCATCAGTACAATTTATGATTACAGGTTACTTTTTCCTCTTTTCATTTTCTTTAGCTCTCATACATGATTCTTTTCTTCACTAAAAAAATCTTATTCAATTTGCATCTCTAACCACATCTGGAAAAATCTCTTGAAATTCTGAGTAAATAGCCATGTTTTAAATAGAATCTTTGTGATTGTTCCTTTCTTTTCCTTCCCTTTAAAAAGCTTGTAGGTACTATGCAAATACAGGGATAGGGTAAGGGAAGTTGTGGGTAGTTTATTAGCAGGCTGGTTTATGCTTCAATCAAGGAAGACGTTAATGTTATCTTTATTAAAATGTAAGCTCCTTGAGGGCAGGTACTATCTTATTTTTTCTCTTTGCACCCCTAGCACTAAGCACTCTGCTCAGCACATAGGAAACATTCAATGAACACTATTTCATTCATTCATTTATTCATTCCAATAAAGTTTGGATCTAGTTGTACCAAGTGAAGTGAAGAATCACAGTGATTATCTGGCCAACTTAATTGAAAATTTAACCAACACAAAAAGGTGAACCTCCCCCAGGCCTCACCACCAATTTTGCTTCAAACAGTTAAAGAACAAAAATGCAATTAAAATTAAAAAAATTGAACCATTTTGATAATGGCTACGCTTATCTCTTTTCTTTTGTGCATGGAGGCACACATGATATAGTAGTTTCATCCTTTTGGAGCTGGAAGGGACTTTAGAAGTTACCTAAGCTAACCTCATTTTATAGGTGAGGAAACTGAGGCCAGCATAGTTAAATGCCTTGCCTAAGATCACACAGGAGCAGAATCAGAATTTTAACCCAGGTCCTCTGACTCCAAACCCAACCCTCTTTTCCACTGTGCGACATTGCCAAAGAGCACTTGGATTCAGAAAATTTGGTTTCAAGTCCATATCTGCTAGCAATACTTACCAGGCTGAAGGAGTCCTAGGTAAGTCATGTAATCTCTCCTAGCTTCAATTCCTTTGTTTCCCCACCTACAAAATGGTTAGAATAAAGTAAATATATGTATAAACTGCTTTTCTCACAGTTTTTTTTAAAAGAAAGTACTTTGCAAAATGCCATAATAAATGTGAGCTATTAGGTGCTATCTTTTTTTTTTCTAGAAAATTTTTTCAGTAGATTTAGGCACCTTGATTTCAGCAATACCTTTGATGATGTCTCATGATATCTTTCTGAATAGGATAGAGAAGGGTGGATTAGGTGATATTACGATTAGGTAATTTTGAGGTGAATTAGGTGGTATAACAATGAGGTAATTTTTATTTTGTGAATGGAGAATGGTTCGACGAGGGGAGAGACTTGATTTTTAACATCTTAAACAACTGGACTTGAAGAATATGATTTATTCATTCATTCATTCAAAGATCATTTATGAGACACTTTGTACCAGGCACTGGATTAGTTGTTTTTCTTTCATTTTCAAAGAGGGCCAATGACATCATGGGGTAATGTCTTGACTTGTGTGTGAATTGGATTTAAGTGAGATAGAATTGCACAAAGTCCTCAGTCTTACTCTTTTCCCCAGAGACATCAAAATCCAGGGGCAAGACATAAGTCAAGATGACTTGCCCAGGGTGCAATGGATGACTTTGGCATCTTTAATGTCTGATGAAACTCTAGGGCTCCACAGCTCCTGCTTCAGCCTCCTTTGTGGCTGTTAGAACAAATTGTCATCTGCCCATTTTGGCAGCAGAAATCTTCACATTCTGTGGGGAGACAACCCTCTAGCTCACCGATGGGTTTGAGGTCTGTCAGTCACTCAGCCTGGTTTATCCTGTCTGCCTCAGTGGTTTACTGGGTGTGGCTGCTGAGCATGCTATAACTTCTTGGAGCCACAGGTGAGAGTTGGGGTGAAGGTAGACACCAAAGGTATTCCTCCCTGAATACTCCATAGACTCCAGTAGGCTTGTCATTGGGGATACAAAAACAGAAAATGAGTCCCTGCCTGAAGAAATTTACATTCTATTGGAGGAAACATTATGACACAGATAAATACAAAATACTAAATAATTTAAGGAGAACTTTATCACTTGGAGGAATCAGGAAAGGATTAGGTGATTAAATTAAGTTTTGGAGGAAACTAGGGATTCTAAGAGGCAGCATTGATGAGGAAGTCTGATAATGGAGGATACAGGGTTGTGCTGGTAAATATGTTTAACAAACAGCTCTCTGGGAAAAAAACCAAAGTACACATGATGGTACTTTTAAGTTTAATTTGTATCATTAACTTTTTCTCACCACTTTTTTTAAGCACAGATATCAGCAAAACAATCAATGAAGTCATAACTGGTAGAGTATTTATAAATTTCCCTGTTGTAAATGTTCACATTGAAAATGTAAAAATCAGCTCCTTAGATACTTTCTGGGGACAAATAACCCATACAAAGGAATGGAGGCAAGAGACTGAATGGCATGTACAGTTACCCCTTTCACATTTCAACTTTCCCCAATCACAGGTTGGCATAAGAAATGAAATGGGGATTTTTGGGAGTTTTGTGGTAGCTGCAGACAATACACAAAGGCCAGCAGATGACACAGAAAAAGTTTAAAAGCTCAGAAATGCATAAAATATATGTATAGTCATGTCAATACCCCATAACAGAAAAAGAAAAAGAAAAAAAATCATTCTTTGTTACTAAGAGAGGGCCAAAAAATTTTACTCAGATTTTCCAGATCAGGGGTGGGGGTGCCATGCCCCTAACTCTCCCAAAGTGGAAGGGATACCTATATTAGGAAAAGTAGGGCAATTTATCCAGGACATTGGCTGCAAGGTTCTATCATCTAATATGCCTGGAAAGGGAGGCTGGCATCATATAGTGAAGGGCTTTATATACTGCAGAATAGGAAAATTGTAATTTTACAGTAGAGGCAAAAGGGAGTCATTGGAGTTTCTTGAGCAAATCTGTACTTTATTATATCAGTTTTAGCATTTGTATAGAAAATGATTTGGGGAGGGGAAAGACCAGTCAAGAGGCCATTTTTAAAAGTTCAGAGATGCAGTCACTAGGGTCTCTAGTTGGGTGGAAGTGTCTAGTGTTTTGCTATAGGTAGGGCTTTGTCTTTGGCTGTGTCTTGTTCAATATAAAAACAAACAAGCAAACAAAAAACCCAGTGCTACAGATACAAATTGAACCTGGAAAGAAGCACTAATACATTATATGGCAAAATCAGGATTCACAAATATCTCAGCAGTTTAGAACAGAGAGCTGAATTTAATAAGATGCTTTAGAATGAAACCAACTACTGAACTTTACATTTATACCCATTAAGTTTAAACTGCTCAAATATAGGATGAAGCAGACTTGGCTTAACAGAAACTCTTGAGAGAAAAGGCAGATTTTTAATTGTCTGGCAGTTCATTATGAATCAACAATGTGCTGCTACCAAAAAGGCAAATCCAATCTTAGGCTGCATCAAGAAAATACAGTCCAGAATCCAGGATTCTACCCTGGTCTGAGCATGTCTTTTTAATTCTGGGGATTGTATTAAAACGGGGGTGGGGGGAAGTATTATTGGCAGCTGTTGTTTTTATATCACTGTAATTTCTGAATATTCTCTCTTTCCTTCCAGAATTGAACCTTCCCTAGTTAAAAATCACACACACACACACACACACACACACACACACACACACACACACACACACACACACACACACACACACACACACACACACACACACACATAAAATGGATGCATCAACTTCATCTGACAAGGGATGCAACATTCTGCAGGGGTTATATCTAAATAGAGAAATTCACAAACTGTAGGATGTCTAGAAGAGAGTGATCAAGACAGGAAGAGGACTAGAAACCATGTCAAATGAGGTAGCTGGGGATATTTAGTGTGAAAAGGTGATGGCTTGTGGCTTGTTTGAAAGACTGTCATCTGAAAGACAAATTAAGTGTATTTTGTGTAGCTCCAGAAGGAAGAATTACTGAGGGCTAGCACCCAAATGAGCTTCCACAAATTATTAATTGCAAAAAAGAAAGAAAGATGAATAGAAACAAGAAATACTGATCACTTGTTCAGTGACCACAAAGTTATCAATTTTGGTATTTGGTGAATCTATACTCTTACCATATCAAGTGATGGGTGTCCAAATGGAGCCAAAGAGAAACTGGATTCAAATCCTGGACCTGCTAATTACTAAATGTTTGACCTCTGGCAGTTCATGTTTCTTCTCTAGGCCTTCCTCATCTGTAAATGAGGGTATTGGATTAGAGCACAATTTTCGACCAGGACGGAACCTTAGAGATAATCCCCTCTTTTTACAAATGTTGAAATTGAGGCCCAGATGGTATGGAATGCTTTGTTCAAGGTCATATAAAAAGTAAGCAACCTCAAGTACTCTGATTCCAAATCCAGCACTGTCTCCACTGTATCATGCTGCCTTCTATCTCTAAGGTTCTTTCCAGTTCTAATGACTATAAAATGTTAGTTGAAAAAAAACTTTCTAAGAATTAAAATCGTACAAAATGGAATAGGTTCCTTTGTGAGCCTGTGAACTGAAATTTATTTTGTCTTTCTCAACACCATTGAAAAGCTTCTTTTAGTCTATGATAGGATAGTATATAAGATATTTTTACTTGGAAACTTTTTTTCTTTGCCCCTTCCAAGATTTTATCTTGGGAAAGACTTTTTAGAATATTTGCTATGTATATGGTTATTCTGTGATATCCATCGTTTAAAAAACATTTATCAGGTTGTCTTCATAGTTATTGTTGTGTTCTCACAAAGCCGAGCTGGACAGCAGTTTTCAGTCCTGCATGCATTGGGCCCGAGCAATAAAGTGGAAATTCTGAATAGTGCATCTTAGTAAGAAATGCTTACTCTAGTGACCTGTAATTAATATTCCTGCCAAGATCTTCCTCCTTCCAAATCACCTACAACTGCAAACAATTCTGTTCATACATTCAAGGAGACGGGAGGAAAAAATCCCAACAACTCTCAAATCACAGAGACCCAGATGGGTTTCAAGTCACCAAAATTTAGCTCCTAATTCAGGCCTGACTTTTGCTCTGTACATTAGCCTTACAAAATTCAAACAAGGAGCATATCCTATTCCTATTGCAATGATGCTTGTTTGACTTGATGAGATTCCTGAATAAACACAGAGAGAGAAAGATGAGTAATTTGGCTGCAAGCAATTCAAAGGAATTTCTTCACAAGACATCTGTAAGGTAATTTCAAAAAATACCCTTGATCCTACCTTAAAAGAAAATTGGGTCTTAAATTTTCTCTAGAGAGACAGGGGTTTTCTGAGTTTCACAAAGGGGTAAAAGATTTCCCTATTTGGAAAAGTTTGCTTATTGCTTCAGGAGATTAAATTTACCTACATACAGAAAATAAAATGCCACATAATTTTCAGTCACAAAATTGTCTTAAAATTATTTCCAATTTTTATAGCATATTAAGAATTACATTCATTTATTTCACATCTTTTACATCAACCTAATAATCTATTCTCATACCTATTTCAATCAGGACTGGGCCCACGCAAAATTAAGAAGTAGGGAAAGTTTACCTTCTGTATCTGACTACCTCCTTTATGAATTCACTTTCCCCTAATTTCAGCATTTTCTCTCATCTCAACAACCTAGTTCTTTGACTATCCCAAATATCTCTTCCCAGGGAAGAAAAATATATTACAGGATACAAAACAACACAGCAAGCACTATGCTAAACACAGACTACATCACACAATAACCTACTGTGTTATATGAGGAAGCAAATTGGTGAAGTGAAAAGAGAACTTTATCTGGCATCAGAGAACCTGAGTTTGATTTCTAGATCAGGAAATGAGTGCCTGTGTGACCCTGGTCAAATAACTTCAATTCTTTAGGTCTCAGACTCCTAATCTGCAAATGAAGAGATTGGACTATGCGACCTTTTAGGTCCCTTCCAGCTCAAAATCCATAATCTGGTCACTAATTTATACTAGAGTCTTAGAGACTTAATTTCTTTCTCATCTCATAAAGTAATTGCCTTTTGAAAAAGAAGGCTTAGAGAGTTCACAAGAAAATTATAGATTGAGAGCAAGAAAGGGACATAAGAAGTCATCTGATCAAGTATCCTCAATTTTACAGAGGGAGAAACTGAGTCCTAACAGAGTGAAGGTACTTGCGGAATGATGAGAATTAATTATGAAGGAAGGGACTTGAATTCAGGTCCCTTACCTCCAAAGGCAGTAATGATAATAATAATAGCTGATGTTTATGTAGCCATGTATCAGGAATGATATTAAACACTTTACAAATATTATCTCCTTTGATTTTCACAACAACCCTGGGAGGTAGGTGTTATTATTATCCTCATTTTGCAGTTGAGGAAACTGAGGTTAAGTGACTTGCCCAGGATTATATAGCTGGTAAATGTCTTGAGGCTGGATTTGCACTCAGGTCTTCCTAACTCCAGACCCAGTACTCTATTCACTGTTATCACCTAGCTGCTGGTATTCTTTCCATCATTCTTCCAAACAGAACACAATAGGTGTTTAATAAATATTTGTTGTATGTATTGAATTGTATCCTGTGGTACCATGCTACCTCTCCTAAATAATGAAACTTTAGACCCTATGAGGTTAAGGGGGAAAAAAAACCCCTAGGAACAGAGTAGGTTTTCCAGAACCAGCTCAAATCACACCAGTAGGAGGAATTCTCTGCTGACTTGTAAAGCAAATACTGGATCTTTCCATTCCTATTTATTTTGACCCACAAGAGAGTCTACTCAGTTTCTGAGATTTGTAGCATGGTGTACCTCCCCTTCATGCACCCTTTGTGTGAGTCACTCTAAGGGGGCTTTTTGTCTATCTTAGGGGAATTTGTTATTCCTACCTAAAATTCCCTTACAACATCCCCAAAGTGCATTCATTCTTGCCCTCATGTGGTAAATGGCACACCTGCGGCTTGAAAGACTTAATGAGCCTATCTAAACTCATAACTTACTACTGAAACTAATTCATGTACAGAAGAGAAGAGGGCTGCTGTCACTTAAGGAATGGCTCCCAAGATGCCATGCAGGCAAATTAAAGTCTCAAGAGATCTGGCTAGTCTTTCACTGTTCTCATTCTTACTAATTGCTTTCTATGATTCAATCTTGTTCTGTTTAGGTGCTGGAAGGTAGAAAAAGATTTTTTAGGGTTTTTTAAAAACATTATTATCTTGGAACAATTATTTATGTTCATTTATAGTTCAAGCTGCTTTAAAAATAAATTCAGAGCTGTTCTTCCTGCTGTGAGGGGAGTAAGCACAAACTACTAGGACAGAGGGGGAAATAATAACAGTTTACACTTAAATAGCACTTTATCATTACAAAAAGCCCCCGCTTTCACAGTGGCACAGTACCTTGCACAGAATAAGGGCTGGATAAATGTTTGCTCAATCAACTATTCATTGAATTGAATTGATTTGTCTCAATTTATCTATACAACAGCCCTGCGAGATAAGTTGTACAAGGTATTATTCCCATTTTATAGATGAAGAAACAGAGTTGGTAGGTTGAATCTCTTGCCTAAGGCCATACTGCTAGTAAATCAATCAGTTAACAAGGATTTATTGAACACCTTGTATGTGTCAGGTACTGTGCTAAGCACTGGCTATACAAAGAAATGTAAAAGATAATCTCTGCTCTCAAGGAGCTCACAGACATGTAAACAATTCTGCACAAACAAGATTCATATTGGGTAAGTTGGAAATAATCACAGAGGGAAGGCACTAACTTTAAGGAGGACTTGGAAAAGCTTCTTGCAGCAGGTGGGAATTTAGCTGACACTTGGTATTTTTTGGTGCCTAATTTACCAAGCTATTGATTCTTTTTTCATGATTTTCTTGTATCACTGCTATCCTCCCCACCTGCCCCTGCCAATTTTCCCTCTACCTTTCTTATTTGAATTTTAAATTCCTTTTTTGAGCTTTTTCTGGGAATTCTTTTTGGGCCTGAGACCAATTCACATTTTTCTTTGAGGGTTTGGATGTAGCAGTTTTGACACTGCTTTGTTCTCAGTTTGTGCTTTGATTTTCCCTGTCACCACAGTTACTTTCTATGGTGAGGATCATTTTTTTGTTGTTTGGTCATTTCCCAGTCTATTTCTTGACTTTTAACTTTATATTAAAGTTGGGCTCTGCTCCCAAAGTGGAGGGGGCACTATCCTAAGCTTCAGAGGCTTTGTGTAGCTCTTTTCAGAGATAGGTCAGGGAATCTGTAAACTTTCAGTTCTTCCAAGGTGGTATGATCTAAGCAGAAGTGTGTTTATTATTTTCCTGGCCTGTGCTCTGGTCTGTGAGTGATCATAAGCACTCTTTTCTGTTCTGGAACTGTGTCAGGGTCCCCACTCCCTTGTAGCCACAAGTTCTAGTGTGCTAGTGCTCCTTCTTGCCCTGGGACTGTGACCTGGATGCTAGTGTGGGCAATGCAACAGAGTCCTACACACGGTGCCAACAAAGGGACCTCTGTAATCTCTTTCTGACCGGCTGTCTGACCCCCTTCCCATCTGTGGGATGAAAGCTCTGGAAGTTGCAGTTGCTGCTGATTCAGTTGCCCCCAAAGCCTGCTGCTCATTTGCTGGGGGCACTGCCTGTGCTGGATAGCTTGCACCGGACTGTGCTCCGCTCCACTTCATGCTGGTATGATAGACCTTTCCTGCTGACCTGAGTTGTCTTGGGCTGGAAAATTGTTTCACTCCATTCTTTAGTGGGTTCTACTGCTCCAGAATTTGTTTTGAAGCTATTTAAAGTTGTTTGGAGGGGAATTTTGGAGAGCTCAGGTGAGTCCCTTTTCTCCATCATCTTGGCCCCAGCCCCACCTGTGTCCTCCCTCATACTATGCTTGTGAAAATTACTGTTTGCTGAAATACATCATATCTCTAGAAGCAGGAATGGATCAGATACTACAAATCCAAGTGGTAAGTTTTGTTGTATTCTCTAATAAAACTCTCTTCTGAAGCCTTTTGTTCCTGGGTCACTGATGTGTTCCCTGTTTGCATGGTATAATACTTCAAACAACATTTTCAAAAAGAATAGAAACCAGATGTTTAACTAACGGCTTCATTACTTTATGGTGTAAGAGTGTTGTAAACACTCTGACCCCAAGGGTGGGGAGGATATCCTCATACCATCACAAATTTAATGTAAATATTTGTAGAATTTATTGAAATCTACTTCTGCTCATATTTTGTCATGTTTTAGGGAAGAAGCTATGGGGAATAAAACAGGAAAAGATGTTTCCTTTGTGAAGGAGATGGCAGCTGACTGCTAGTGTATGAAAAACAAGTAGACTCATTTGGGTGCAATTCTGAAAATATTAGCTGAACTACCAGAAAAGATGAGTGACTAATTTTCCTTTTTTACTGGAAAATTTTGTAAACAAAAGAAAAAATTTTAAGAATGGAACTAAGGAAGAATATCCTTGTGTTTCTCTTTAAAAAAAATACAAAATTCCAAATTTTATAACCAGATAAGTTAAGTTAATTACAGTATAAAACTTTATCATGTTACAAAAGCCATTGGCTTAGATTTCCTTTTTAAATTAGCAGTTGAAACAAAATTGATATGTAATTTTTATTGAGCCTATCTTTTGCAGAACAAGATATAATACAAAACCAAGGCCACTATTTATTTGATAATAGCAAAGTCTGTTAAATGACAAACATTTTGCATAGGTGTGTTTTCCTTCTACATCAAAAGTTCTAAACTTTAAGACCATTGGGACAAAAATATTGTGCTTTTAAACAATGATCTGTTGTAGGCATTTGAAAAAATCTAATGTGGCATAGTAGCTAAAGCACTGGGAAGGAGTTAGAAGGCTGGGAATCTAGAACAGGTTTATTAATGTGCTATTTTGGATAAGTACTTTCTCCTCAGTTTCCTTATCTATAAATGAATGAGGTGGAATTAGATAATATCTAAAACCCCATCCAACTCTCAGATTCCAAGATTCTCTCCACCACCTTTCTTTCTCTGTCTCTCTCTGTCCATTCTCCCTTCCCCCCTTTTCCCTCCCTTTCTCTCTTCCCCATCTTCTCCAACTCCCTTCAATCCTTGGCTCCCTCTCTTCTACTCATCCCCTTGATCTTTCATATTTCATTCTCTAGGACCCTCTTTCTCTCCTTGAATGTTTTAGCAGTCTTTTCACCATAAAAATAGCATACATGATCATCGATAATGCTATATCCTGTGAAATTCTTATTTTATTCCTTCTCTTACATTTTTGATCATGAAATAAAATTTGTACTTTAGTCTAACCAAAACTAGATATTCATTTGTTTCTAGTTCTTTCCCTTAAAATACAAAATCATATTTATAAGTAGAATGGTTTATTGAGCAAAGCAACAGATTGAGGTTGAAGAATGATGAATTTTAGTCTGTCCATTGTGGGATTCTTGCTTTCTAGTTTCAGGAAAATTTCTGTGTTGTGTATACATACATATACACATACATTCATACAATATACATATATGTATATACACACACACATGGCATTAGTATTCCTTTCTATGGAAGGTTGGCAATAATTTTCTGATTATGCTAAGATAACAGAACTAGTTATTGTTAGAGTCCTGGCATGCCTGAAATATTGGCTTATTGAGGACCCTACTTTTGTTGACCTTGTGCCACAAAATTGCCATTGCCCTATTTCTTTGTGTAATCAGCAGCCATCTTTTTTTTCTTTGTTTTGTGTAACATTAAAAGACTACTAGCTGAATTGTTTGAGTGACACATTCCAATTATCTGCTGTTGGGGTATGTCATACACATCCTCTGAATACAATAAAATTATTCTCTGAAAAACAAATTATAATTTCCCTTTGATAGTCCCTGTGCCTAAGCCCTCAGGCATCTGGCAGCATAGGCCAATGCACGAACAGACTTCTCCTGGATCAGATACAATATTAGGGGAATATGAACATGGACATACAGGCAATTAGGAATCACCATATACTCTGGAGTTTTACTCCCTCTCTTGCTTCCACTCTTGTCAAGACATGTACTGTAGCCCAGTTGGAGCTGGCAGGTGGTACAGTGGGTAGAGCACTAGGCCTGGAGTCAGGAAGACCTGAGTTCAAATCCAATCTCAGATACTTACCATGACCCTAGATAGGTCACTTAATCTGTTTGCCTCAGTTTCCTCAACTGTGAAATGGGAATAATAATAATAATAATAATAGTACCTACCTCACAGCATTGTTGTGAGAATCAACTGAAATAATAATTGTCAGGTACTTAGCACAGTGCCTGGCATATAGTAGTCACTTAATAAATGCTTGTTTTCTTTCTTCCTTCCAGTTTAGTAATACTAGTGCACAAGTTGTACATATTTCTGTTTTTATCTAATTCCTGGAGGCAGCCTCAGGGTAGGAGAGAAAGTAACACCCTCTTTAAGGCTAATGACAGCAGCTGCTGGTTTTCTCCTCCTCTCCCTGCCTCCCTGATTAAGGTAACAGCAGGAGCAAATCAAATCAAATGTAAATTTAATTAAATTTAAACATAGTACAAAACAGCATATCATAACACAGAAACTCACTTTAGCATCCTGTTTTAACTTCCTTCCTTATCAAAACTTTTACCAGCACTTCTAAGAGACAGGAACAAATAGCTTTCCTTTCTCCTGCCCATTCTAATATGGATTTGCAAAATTATCAGTGTAATTCTCAAAATGTGAAATTATGAATACCTTTCATGCTTCCACCAGTCTTCACTTCTTTGGAAATCAACACAAAATTAATTTCCTCCAGGAATTATTTAATTATTTCAAAATGACTTGCAACTTCTCACCAACCCATTGTAAACAATCTATTCTCATTTTTATATTTATGCTAATTCAATGTATCTACTCTTTGCAATCTCTGTATGAACTCTTTCCCAAGTCCACTTACATATATGTGCATATGTATATGTGTACGTATGTATAAAATCTAACATGTTTGTAAGAGTAAATTTGAGGGCAGGAACCACAACTAACCACAACTATGCCTACACATGTTGGGGGAAGTCGATAAATGCTGATGATAATTTGAGGAATTATGAAGAACAGGAGAGATGCTGCAAGATTGGGGGCAGGAAAATATTTTACCAATTTTCAAAAAAGGAAAGAAGGTAGATGCTTCAAACTGTCTCCCAGAAAGCTTAACACTGATTCCTGGGAAAATTTTAGAACAGATTATTAAAGAAATGTCTTGGAAGCAATTAGAAAAGGAAGTGGTGATCATTAGGAAGCAGCATGAGTTCCTGAAGAACGAGTTATGCTAGACTGCCCTCATTTCCTCTTATAATAGGGTTACTAGGCTGGCAGATTATGGAGAAGACATAAACATTGCATGCTTAGATTTCGGCAAGACAATTCGAAAGGTCTCTCACTATATCCTTAGAGAAAAGATGGAGAAATATAGGTTATAGGGCAAACTATTTGGTGGATTTGGAAATGACCAAGACCAGAGTGGTGAATAATATATCTGTGTCAATCTTGAGGCAAGTCTCTAGTGAAGAACTGCAGGAATAATATTTTAGTCTGTTGGGTTCCACATTTTTCTGTGTGTGTTATTTTGTTTTTTAAATGTTTTATAGATTAAAAAACATGAATGAACAAATATATAACATTAAAGAATCTCTGGTGGGCTTCAGGGAATTGAGTCACTGCACTCATCTATTCTCTTTCCTAAGGGACCCCTTTGCTCCGGATCTCAGGCCTTTGGTCCTGGTCCTGGTCCGGTCCTGGTAGAGACTAATGAGAGGTGGGACTGGGCTCTCTTTTCTCCTACTCTTTTGTCTGTTAAATCTCCACTCTAGTGCACTGGGGACAAATTATTTAAAGCTTAGGGTTTATGTCTAGGTTTTCCCAAAGAGGGGCCAGTAAGAAAATAGTCGTTATATACTATGTCTCAGATATGGGTTAGATATTCTAGTTTAAAAGAGGGATAGAGACTGCACCTGTGATTCATTGGTATAGGAAATTCCCTGGTGAGGAAAGCCCCTCTACCAATGCAGGTTGGTATTTTCTCTGTCACTTACAATCTTAGAATATTGATAGAGTATTGAAAAATCAAGTGACTTACCCAGGCTCCTATAGTCTGTAAGTACCACTGGTGAGAATTGAACCCAGGTCTTCCTAGTGATTACACAGAAAAAGAAATACTAAACATATTTGTGGACAGAATGACTCAGACTGGGATTCAATAACAACTTATACTGTTACAGTCTATTAGGATGAGAGGCTGTTACCTTAATCTTATAACAGAGAACAGTTTGCAATTCTGCATTTTACGTTTCACATGGGCTTTGTACTATCTTCCTCAAACAATATATATTTTGGCAAGTTAGATTTTTAAATTTTTATTATATTTTTAGTTTATGGAATAAAACAAGCATTTTCATAACATAGTATAATAAAAGAGATGATTGCACATGAAACTACAAATCTATTGTGTACAACTTGCTATTCCTTTTAAATATATAATAAAGTTATCACATAAATTCCTTTTTTTCCCTGTTTTTGGTCTTTCCTTCCCAACCTCTCATCCTAGAGATGGCTACCATTAGACACAAATATGTATATGTGTGTGTATGTATGTAAAATCATTCTATACATACTTTTATTTACCAGCTCTTTGTCTGAATGCAGGAAGCACCTCCCTTCATATGACTTTGGGTATGTTAATTTGGGTATTTATAATAGTTAAAATGACTTACTTGCTCAAAATTGTTCTTAAAACAATATTGCCATTACTGTATACAATGTTCTCTTGGTTCTGCTCATTTTACTCTTCATTATTTCTGCAAGTCTATCCATGTTTTTCTAAGATCATCTAGGTCATCATTTCTGATAGCACAGTAGTATTCCATCACAATCATATACCACAATTTCTTAGGCCAGGAGCTTGGTCTGTGACTCTTGTCTCTAGTTATCTCTAGCTAACTCTAGCTAACTCTTGAGCATGCAAAGCTACCTCAAAGCTTGGGTATATCCTCCTTGAGATTGATGCTTGCAATCACTTCTTCAGGAAACAACACAAAGTAGAAAAGATGGCCAGTGGACCAAGTGCAGGTTTGCCTACACCTTTTAGAATCCCCTTCCTTTAGCCACAAGGTGAAAATGGTTGCTATCACGCTGGGGTGCCAAACCATCTCTTTCTCTTCATTGGAAGTCTCTGTGTCATATGATGACACCTAGAGGGTAGAAAGAAGAGAGATTCATCTAAAAGCTTTCTCTTTTTAACTGACTGAAGTACCCTGACCTACTGCTGCTTTCACAGGGCTGGGGGTGGTTACCAACAGCCATTCAGAGTTTTCTGCAATATCTCCTTCAAGTACTAGGCCACCATATAGCTAGAAGTAGCCAGGAAGTCTGTCTCTCCAAAAGGCCTAATCATTGAGTTTCTACATCTCTGTAATCCCTGCAAATTTCCAGGAGGGTGGCCTCAATAGGCCAATTTCACCTCTACAATAAATAGATAAAAAAGCATTTATTATATAGTTACTACGTGTCAACCAGTGTGTGTGTGTGTGTGTGTGTGTGTGTGTGTGTGTGTGTGTGTGTGTGTGTGTGTGTGTAGAGGAGTGGGGAAGTAAGGAATACAAACGCAAACAGTCCAGGCCCACAAGGAACTTAATTTTATAGGAGACAACATAAATAGGGAAGTGGTAGCCAGAGGGGATATTTTGCTTTAGAAATTTAGCCAGAATGATGAATGGAGCCATAGGGAAGTAGACGAATACCTTTTAAGTAGAAATACCAGTTTTGATTTGATTATGATTCCAGAAGAGGAAACCCATAGCTGGTCTCAGAGTCAAGCAGAGATGAGTTCAAATACTGACTCTGACAAGTACTAGCTGGGTGACCGGGAGTAAAACGCTTATCCTCTTAGTACCCCTTGATTCTAACCTACTTTGGTAGAGGGACTTCCTCACTGGGAGCTCTCAACATTAATGAAATCATAGAACCAGTAAATAAGCAAACAAAAAAGCTTCCATAACTGGAAAGGGATGTGTGTATGCATTTGTGTGTGTGTGTGTGTGTGTGTGTGTGTGTGTGTGTGTTTGTGTTTGAGGGATGGGGTTGTGTATGTGAAATAGCCAGGAAGCAATCAAGAAGATGGCCATCGAATAAAATAAAACATGGTTGGATCCCGTTTAAATATAGTGGGCCATGGGAGACACTCACCAATCAAATTAGTGGACCCTTGGGCTGAAGTCCCTGATGTAAAAGGGAATAAATAAGACTTTCAGGATATGTTTCTGGTCTCTTCCATAGGACAGCAAATGAGAAGATGGTAGGGGGCTAAACAAACCATGCCTGGCCAATTTATTGAAAGGAGGGAAGAGCGTTTCATCAACTCTTGTCTGAGATTAAGATTGGTCATTATGATCAATTTGAATTCAACTACATTTTGGTGTAGTTTTCTTTAGAGTATTATAGTTATGTATTTTGTTCTCCTCGTTGTGTTTGCTTTGCTCACTATATTCAGTATTTTTATCAGTGAAGTGACTGAGGACTTAGATAGAATGCTTGCCTCATTTTTCAAATGACATATAACAGGACAAGGATAACTGATAATAAAAATCCAGAAAGATCTTACCAGCCTAGAGCTAGACCAAATTTCTTAAAGTGAAATTTGGTAAAGATAAACATAAAATCAGGAGTGTCCTGGAGTCAGGTTGTACTGGTTTATGAGAGCTGATTGTTTCAGTGTGAGCATGCATACCTTAGAAACTGGCAAATGCTACAAAGCAGGATTTGATTTATTTTTGTTGTTGTTAACAGTCTAGACTTAAGACAGTGGTGGTTAGAAGTTAATAATCCAGATTAAATTTAAAAGCATATCATGGATGCATTCCCCCCCACCATCAAGGGCTGGTTGTTAAACATTTACCAGCATACCCCTGCATAAAATCCTGAACTTTCATTCAAAAAATCAAATGAACAAATAAAGCATCACAGAACTTTGGCTATATAGTCACTCAGAACAAAAAAGACCTGAGGATTTTAGTGACAACAATTTCCATAGGAATCAACAGTGTGAAATAGCAGCCAGAAAAAAAGCTATGTCACCCTAGATGACATTAACAGAAATATTATATTTAGGATAAGAGAGGTAATATTCTATTCATTTCTGGCTGCCACATTTGAAAAAGGACATTTGACAAAGTCAGAGTGAACTCAAGGGACTGACTACTATGGTAAGAGAACTCAGAATCAATGCATACAAAGATGACTTGAAGAAATTGGGGTCCTTTAGCTTGGGAAAGAAAAGATCACATGGGACCTGACTGTTCTTCTAATCATTTGAAAGGTTGTTCTGTTGATTAGATTTGTTTTACTTATCCCCAGGGAAAAATACCAAATGATAATGAAAATCTTCCTATAACTTTCTGGAATTGGAATAGGTTTCCTTAGTAGATTGTGATTTTTCCCATCCATGGAGGTCTTTAAGAAGAGATCTTATGAGTATTTGTTTGGGATGTAGATGGGGATATCATGCTTCAAGTACGAACCACATAGTTGATATTTATTCAGCCCTGTCAGGTTTTCAAAGTGTTTCGTGGATATTATCTTATTTGACCCATGAGGTAGGTACTACAGATAATATTAAACACATTTTACCAATGAAGAACCTGACGCTCAATGAGATTAAATGAATTTCCAATGGTCACATAGCTAATAAATGTCAGAGGTGGCTTTTATACTAACCACCAGTCACAAGGTGGTAGGTCTAGAGTTGGAAGACTGCTCAAAGGCCGTCTGGTTTGGTTCTGTGATGTGACAGATGAAGAAATTGAAGGGAGAGGGAGATCAGATGACTCGGCCAAGGTTACATAGATAAGTCAGCTTTACAGCAAGGATTTAACCCAGATTCTCTGACTCCAGAGCCTATCATATCACTTTTTCCTCTGTGCCATGCTATTTCTATTATAGGACCTCTGAAATACTTTCTGCTTCTAGGAATCTATGATAAAAATAAAGATTTGCACATGTCAATGTATTTTTATCTGTGTGAATTCCATTATTTTATCATAGACTACTTTCTGAGGTCAGGGATTATGTACATATTGAGTTTTACATACCTAAAAGTGGAGTTGATGGAATAAATCAGTCAATTCACCTCATGCTACTTGGGGTAAATGATGAGATGCCCAGATATATTAATGAAGTGAGAATAAGTCTCAATCAGCCAATCAATCAAACATTTTAGATTAAGTACTAAATGTCCTTGGATAAACTGGAGTGACATTGACAGGAAGAGTATTTGGATTAGCAAAGAAAACTAAGTCATGCCCTGTCATTTATCTATTGAATAGAGGAACAGTTCAGAGCTCAACTTTTCAAGGATCCAGTAGAGATTTGGATTCCAGGGAGTGGCAAAAAAGAGAGAGCATTTCAGCTAACTCTCTTCACCATCACCAACCCTCTCCCCTGCCCTCCTGCCCCATCCTGGAGTTGCTTGGTGGGATTGGGAGGGAAGACTTTGAATTTGGCCTTGGTTTCCTCTTCTCCCTTCTTGGCCAAAGGATTTTTTGAGCTTGAAGGGTCTGGAGGATTTTGGACTTTCCATTTTCTTGTCAGTCTCCTACCGTTGTCTCCTTGAAGAGCAATGGGTGGGGGCAGTGTTTGCATTCGGACCCAAGGATAGACTATAGGCAGATTTACAGCTCAACAAAGAGCCTAGGAAAGAAAATATACCACATCTAAGAGGAACTTCTTTAGTATCTCACTAAGGTGTGAAAAGGACCAGAAACTATGAGTTATCACTTTGCCATACGGGCTCTTTATATGTGAGCCTACTTTCCTCTGAACTCAGTACTTGAAGCAGAGTGAGTCATGGACTTTTGGGGGGCTAACTGCTTATTTCATACAATTTAGTAAATACCCTAAATATCTTTCTCTTTTTTTTCTTTTTGGTGAGACAATCGGGGTTAAGTGACTTGCCCTGGGTCGCCCAGCTAGTAAGTGTCATGTGTCTGAGGCCAGATTTGAACTCAGGTCCTCCTGACTCCAAGGCCAGAGTTCTATCCACTGTTCCACCTGGCTGCCCCTAAATATCCTTCTCTAAAAACAAATGGGTGCTGGCTGACTGATAATCATAGTGGGAAGCACATTGAGGTAGTGGTGCTTGTGAGCTCCAGTCCTAGAAAGACAACCCCTCTGGCTACCATCAGAGGACTGAAAGAATCTAATGGCAATATACTTAGGGCGTGACTCATCAGTGCGATTGGGAATTGGGAGAGTATCCCAAGATCATTGCCACATTGCGCAGGCCTTGTCCAGAACATCAGGTCCTTTAAATAAACAGCTCCCAGAAGAATTGCAAACTATTAACAATTATATGAAAGGATGTTCTAACTCACTGATGAGAAGAGAAAAATAAATCACAACAACCCTGAGGTTTCATCTCACACTCAGATAATTGGCAAAGATGACAAAAGATGGAAATAGTTAATGTGAGAGTATTGTGGGAAGATAGGCTTACTAGTTCATTATTGGTGGAGCTATGAATCAGTATAATTATTTTGAAAGCAATTTGGAATTATGCCAATAAAGTGACTAAAATGTCCAAATAATACTGTTGACTGATATTTAGTTTACAATCCACTAAAACCTCTAGCTCCTTTTCTGAAAATCACTCTTTAGCCAAGTTTCCCTATCTTGTACTTGCAATTTTGATTTTAAAAAATTAGAATAAGATTTTACATTTATCTTTTAAAAACTTCATCTGAATTTTCTATCTCTGTAAGATCTTTTCAGAGTCTAGTATAATCTAAAATGTTTTCTATTGCTCTTAACTTTGTATCATCTGCTGATATGTTAAGTACGCTGCCTGTACTTTTATTAATTCATTGCTAAAAAGCATAGGGCCATTCATGGGTCCCTGGGATTCTCCACTAGAGACATCCTTCTCTGCAATCAAAATGCTTGGTTGTAATTATACGTATTTGCCAGGTTTGGAGCATTTTCAGAAAGAGATTTTTCTGGACCAGTATTATTAATGTTCTTTGTAATGTTTTTTCTTGGCAAATATTAGTAGGCCTTGAAAAGAAAAACATTTAGTAAAAACGACTGGAAAGGCTGCAAAACAAAACTAAATGACACAGTGGGATTGAATGAAGCTTCTTTTTCCTGGAGGTCTATTATTTGAGAGGTTTCAGCTCATGTATAATCATGGCTA